CCGCGGGTTCGAGACCCGCCTGGGCAGGCAAGACCTCATCTCTACAATAAATCAAAAAAATCAGCCGGGCATAGTAGCGCATGCCTATAATTCTGGCTACTTGGAAGGCTGAGGAGGAAGGATTGCCGGAGCCCAGCAGGTCGAGGCTACGGTGGCCAGGAGCGGCCACTGCCCTCCAGCCTGGGCGACAGAGTAAGACTCCAATTCAAAAAAAAAAAAAAAAAAAAATGTTAAAAGAGGACTACATAGTGAGGTGCGGCAGACACTGTTTCTGAATTAAGTGGTCAGGCTGGTTACTGGAAGATCATAAGGAAGAGAAATTAGCCATTTTGGCCATATATGAGGAAGTTCCCCCATACAGGGGAAAGAATATTTCAAGTAGAGGAAACAGCCAGTGCAAAAGTCCTAAAATGAGAACATATCTGGCATATTTGAACAAACAGCCTTCCTGCTAACCAGAGAAAAAGAAACAGTACAGACCATGCCCAAGCCATGTTGATTCAACTTAATGATTTCTTGACTTTATGATAGTACAAAAATGATACACAGTCAGTAGAAACTGTACTTCAAGTATCCATACAACCATTTTGGTTTTCACTTTCAATACAGTATTCAATAAATTACCTGAAATATTCAAAATTTTATTATTAAATAGGCTTTCTTGTACATCCCTGTAAACTGGAGAGAAAAAGTATGCTTTGTATTAGGAGATTTTGCCCAATTGTAGCTAATATAAGTGTTCTAAGCACGTTTAAAGAAGGCAGGCTAACTATGATGTTCAATAGGTTAAATGGATTAAATGCATTTTCAACTGATATTTTTCAACTTGCAGTGGGTTTATCAGGTCATAGCTCCATTGCAAGTCAAGGAGCATCTATAGTAGAAAGTGAGGCTAGGCAGGGCTCGGTGGCTCAGCCTGGAATCCCAGCAGTTTGGGAGGCTGAGGTGAGTGGATTACCTGAGCCCGCGGGTTCAAGACCAGATGGGGCAACTTGGCAAGACCTCGTCTCTACAATAAATTTTTAAAAAATCAGCCAGAAGTGGTAGCGTGCGCCTACAGTTCTGGCTACTTGGAAGCCTGAGGAGGAAGAATCGCGGGAGCACAGCAGGTCGATGTTGGGGTGGCTATGAGAGTGCCACTGCACTCTAGCCTGGGTGGAAGAGTGAGACTCCAACTCAAAGAAAACAGAAAGTGAGGACAAAGAAGTAATATGGCTAGATTGTGCTGGGCCTTGAGAGCCTCTGTAAGAACTGGCTGCTATTCTGAAGGAAAAAGGCAACCATTGCAAGGTTTTGATCACAGGAGTCATATAATCTGACCTTCAGAAAGAAATTGTTTTTGAGACAGGTTCTTTCTCTGTCACCCAGGCTGGAGTACAGTGACATGATTATAGCTCACTGAAGTCTTGAACTCCTGGGCTCAAACGATCCTCCTGCCTCAGCCTCCTGAGTAGCTGGGACCACAGGCATATACCATCACAACCTTTACAATTTTTTGGCTGGGCGCGGTGGTTTACACCTATAATCCCAGCACTTTGGGAGGCTGAAGTGAGAGGATTGTCTGAGTCCACAGGTTTGAGACTAGCCTAGAAAACTTGGTGAGACCTCATCTCTACAATTAAAAAAAAAAAAAAAAAAATTAGCCAGGCACGGTGGCATACACCTGTAGTTCCAGCTACTTGGAAGGCTGAGGTGGAAGGATGACCTGAGCCCAGCAGGTCGAGGATGAGGATGCAGTGGCCAGGAGCATGCCTCTGCCCTCCAGTCTGGGCGACAGAGTGAGACGCCAACTCAAAATAAATAAATAAATAAATAATAAATTTACAGCTAGCAGAGGAACACTACAACACAGAATACATTTATAAAACCACACTAATATACTGTATATGATTATTATCCTATAATGAGAATTGCAGTCAAGGTGTTATTAAAAATATAACTCTAAAAATGTAAGCACCATACCTGTTCCTGAATCAGACATCCAGGCATTTGGAGTTTCATCTGGTTTACTGAGGTAAAAAGCACAAGGATGTGTAGCAGCAGCGAAATCAGACTACAATTCAAGAAAGAAAACTATTGGTTGACAGTTAAAAGTCAACAGGCACAAACTGCTGACCCAAGAAATGAGAGCCAAGTGTTAAACTCGGGCATAGAGAAGCCTTCAGAGGGTTCATGAAGTAAAAAAAGCCTGGTTTCTCCCATGGTTACAAGAATGCAAAACTATGAGAATTAACAATGAAGGATTTCCTCTTGCTGTGAAATTTATAAAAGTTTACTCTGGTTCTCTGTAGAGCTAGAAGATGAAAGTTGGGGGCAGGTGTTATTTAATGAGTTCACACCTAAAATGTATGTATAATTTGCCAGTTACTTCCAAAACAAATACTTAAGGTGTCTGGAATTAAAGTTATTTAGTATAAAAATTAATGTAAAAGCCATAACAATTTATCTTATTGTTATAACTACAATAAATCAAATTAACTCTGAAAGCCACAAATCAACAACATGAACCTTAAATAGTAGATTACTTTTTTGTGTGTGTGAGTTGGACTCTCACTCTGTTGCCCAGGCTGGAGTACAGTGGACTGTTCATGGCCACTGCAGCCTCGACCTGCTGGGCTCAGGCAATCCTTCCTCCTCAGCCTTCCAAGTAGCTGGAACTACAGGTGCACGCCACCACACCTAGACAATTTTTTACATGTTTTTTTTTGTAGAGACAAGGTCTCACCAAGTTGCCCAGGCTGGTCTTGAACCCCAGGACTCAGGCAATCTTCTCACCTCAGCTTCCTAAAGTGCAGAGGTTATAGGCTTGAGCCACTGAGCCCGGCCTAGACTACTTCTTACATATAAACAATTGGTTACTAGGCTCTGAAAAGGCTGAAAATATTTATCAATTCTAATAAAAATTCTGAGTCAATCTCTTCTTAAATATCTCTGACATTGTCATAAGAAATATGTGTTCCCAAACATATCTTTTTTTTCTTTTAAATTGTATTTATTTTTTAGAGACAGGGTCTCACTCTGTCACTCAGGCTGGAGTGCAGCAGCACAATCATACTTCCTGCAGCCTCAAGCTCCTAGGCTTAAGCAAACACCCTGCCTCAGCCTCTCAAGGGCTAGGACTATAGACGTGTGCCATCATTCCTGGCTAGTTTTTTTTTAATTTTTTTGTAAAGATAGGATCTCCCCACGTTGCCCAGCTAGTATCAAACTCCTGGCTTCAAGTGATCCTCCCACCTTGGCCTCCCAGAGCACTGGGATTACAGGTGTGAGCCACTGTAGCCAGCCAAGAATATTTCTATAGGAATTTTTCCTATCAGTTACCACATCAAACTTTTAATACCTATTAAAAGCACATAAGTTGGCTGGGCTTGGTGGCTTAGCCTGTAACCCCAGCACTTTGGGAGGCTGAGGCGAGTGGACTGCCTGAGCCCACAGGTTCAAGACCAGCCGAGGCAACTTGGCGAGACCTTGTCTCTACAATTAATAAAAAATTAGCTGGGCATGGTAGCACGCGCCTGTAGTTCCCGCTACTTGGAAGGCTGAGATGGAAGGATTGTCAGAGCCCTACAGGTCCATGCTGGGGTGGACTTGAGTGTGCCACTGCACTCTGGCCTGGGCAACAGAGTAAGACTCCAACTCAAAAAAAAAAAAAAAAAGTACATGAGTTGTATTTGCTAACGACCATCTGAACCCACTGCAAAAGGAAGAGCACATTGAGATGAAAACACTCTACCTGGAGGATTAATGCATCAGCCTTCTAAGGCACCATTTAGCCTCTTTTTCATCAAGAAAGAAGTTCCTAAGTCATCTTTATCTCTTATAAAACTTCGGTCTGTTTGAACCTGTCTGAGGACTGAAGACCAGGAAAGGGTGAATGCAGAGGTCTAAGTCAAACAATTCCAAGTAAAATATTTTGCCCTCATCCTCATTCTGAGTCAATGCACTCAGCTAAAAACACAAAGTGGGCTAGAGAGGGGCTTACCTTACAGGGCTGCCTGCTATACTCTTCTGGGCAAACAAGGCATCCACTGAAGAAAACAGGCCCAGCTTTCAATGAAAAATAAAAGTAGAGTGCAATGAAAAGCCCTTCTAAATGTAAACCCTCTTAGCCCAAGAAGCTGGCCTAAGCCTAACACAAGGTCCTTAATTAGTTTCAGTAACAGTTTATTAGCCCATCTGAAAAACCACCATAAAGTCCTTCAGCCTGTGAAATGAGAAAGTCTGTCCAAGATAAAGGACAGAGGAAACAAAGAGCATCTTGAGCTCTGGAAAACCCTTTCGCTAAACAATATACAATTTCAACATGTATCTCAAAGTAGTTATTACTCAAACTACCATCATATAAAAAAATTGGATCAGAAGAGAATTCTAATAACAAGCATTTCCTGCTTTAGAATGAAACTTAAAACAATGCGAGAAGAAAAAAGGTTACATAAAGAAGACTCCAACTTTTGTGAATCCAGAATTATGCAGGTAGGAAATTCATTTCAGGGGTGTTGTCTCTGACTAGCGACCACCATGAGCTCAAGATCATTGGCAGCTCAGAAATATCAAAGAAACCTGATTTCCTCTAATAATTTAATACCACATAGTTCATTCTCCCCCAAAAAAGGAAAAATAAAACTTGTGCAGGTGACCAAAGACTCAGAGGGAATCATTGCCTCCTCTCAGCCTCCACTCTCTGCCCTACACAAGAGGCCAAAGACAAAGAGGCTGCTAGAAGTGCATTTCTCAGGCAGTACACCAGACAACTTGGGCAGCCGATTCTCCACTGAATCACACAGGAAAATTTGGCTAGACCACCAGTTACCAGACTTTACTGTACATCAGCATTACCTGAGGAGCTTTATTTATTTATTTTTTTGAGTTGGAGTCTCACTCTGTCGCCCAGACTGGAGTGCAATGGCCACTCCGAGCCACCACAGCGTTGACCTGCTGGGCTCCGGTGATCCTTCCGCCTCAGCCTTCCAAATAGCTGGAACTACAGGCGTGCGCTACCACGCCTGGCTAATTTTTTGATTTACTGTAGAGAGGAGGTCTCACCAAGTTGCCCAGGTGGGTCTCGAACCCGCGAGCTTAGGCACTCCACTCACCTCAGCCTCCCAAGGCGTGGGATTACAGGTTGAGCCACCGAGCCCGGCTACCTGAGGAGCTTTAAAACATCCAATACAGGTCAGAACACCTGGGACTGGCAGCCACGATAAGTAGATTTTAAATCTCCTCAGGTGAGGCTAATGTGCAACAAAGTTTTGGAATCAGTGGGCTATGTAATATATATTGAGTTATAATCACAAAATACAACAAGAAAACCAGCAAATTCACTGAGTACATAACCACAGAACCCAAAGTTTATCAGTAGAAAAATCTCCATAAGACAAAGTTTCAATCTTAACCTTAGTAAAAACAGAAGCTACTATGCATGAAAACATTTTACCATTATGCCAAGCTATTCTAATGAAAAAAACCCAATTTTTACCCAGTTTCCAAATATTTTTATGCTATCGTACCAAACAAGGATATACCATCCTTAATGGCACACAGGTCAAAAGACTAGAACTACCAACACAGTATTAAGTGACTTTTCTAGAATAGAACTACCAACAAAATACTAAAGGGATTTTCTAGACTAAAACTACCAACATAGTACTAAAGGGCTCTCATAGGCCACAGAAGTTTTTGCAGTTCATGCAACTTCATTTACCTTCACTTCCTTCCTCTTCAACACAAATCTGAAAAAGTTCAAAGAATGGTGATATTAGGAAGCCTAAATATCACAAACTAAAGAAAATCTACTGAAATAAAAAGAGAAATAAATAGTGCCTTATGAAGGCTGAGGAACTATCTTCCTATCCTTACTAGATCTTTTTCACAGGGGGATGGAAAGACTGTGTTTAGGATGATCAAGGCATGGTCAATTCCTAAGGTATCAGGTTTGTAGAGATCTGATTTTACAATTTCAATGTATTATACTAAACAATGCTATTCTGTGACAAATTTAGGCCAATAAGGGTTATAAAGATACATGAAAACTTAATTATCTGAGGCCGGGCTCAGTGGCTCAGCCTGTAATCCCAGCACTTTGGGAAGCCGAGGCGAATGGACTGCCTGAGTCCACAGGTTCGAGACCAGCCCGGGCAACTTGGTGAGACGTTATCTCTACAATAAATAAAAATTAGCCAGGCGAGGTAGCATGCCTTCCAGCTACTTGGAAGGCTGAGGTGGATGGATCACCGGAGCCCAGCAGGTCGACACTGGGAGCATGACACTACACTCCAGCCTGGGCAGTGAAGTGAGACTCCAACTCAAAAACGAAAAACAAACAAACAAAAAAGTTAATTATCCGAAACTCAAATTTAAATAATAAAAAAATTAATATCTATAATCTTTGTTGTTCTGGCTCCCCTCCCCTATCTATAATCTTTTAATGAAAGTAGCTGCTAGGTTAGCAAAAGGGGGAACTGAGATTTTAAACATTTAATCTCTTAAAACTTGGTTATAAATTCAAAACTGTTCAAATTTCAACATTTTAAAAATAAAGGTATTTTATTTATTTATTGTAGTTGCAGTCATTCCATTGCCCAGGCTGGAATGCAGTGGCATGCTCACGGCCTCGTCAGCGTCAACCTGCTGAGCTCTGGCGATTCTTCTGCTTCAGCCTTCCAAGTAGTGGGAACCATAGGCGCGTGCTACCACGCCTGGCTAATTTTTGATTAATTGTAGAGATGAGGTCTTACCAAATTGCCAGGACTGGTCTTGAACCCACAGGCTCAGGCAATCTACTCGCCTCGGCCTCCCAAAGTGCTGGGATTACATGCTGAGCCACGGAGCCTGGCCAATAAAGGCATTTTAAAGAACTCAACAAATACAGTATTACTTCTTACAACCTAATAGTAATACAAATTATTTGAAAGTTTTAAAAAAAAATTAAATGCCTAAATGTAAACATTTGCAGTACAAAGAGAAATAGGACTTCGCATATGATTCATTTTTTGTAGTATTGTATTTCTCATTAGGTTTGCTTTCCAGCCAACTAAAGACACAATACTTGGCCAGGCACAGTGGCCAAGGTGAGGAGGATGCCTGAACCCACGAGTTCAAGAACAGCCTGGGCAACTTGGTGAGACCTCATCTCTACAATAAATCAAAAAATTAGCTGGGTGTGGTATCGCACGCCTGTAGTTCTGGCTACTTGGAAGGCTAAGGCAGAAGGCTTGCCTGAGCCCAGTAGGTCGAGGCTGTTTTGGCAGTGAGACTCCAACTCAAAAAAACCCCAAAACAACAACAAAAAAAAGAAGCAATACTTACAGCAAATCATTATTTCCAATCCTTTAAGACACCAAAAGAAAGATTTGTAAGTTAACAAAACAAAAGAAAGGGCAAAATAGTTTTGTTGATGAGTGGGTCCTAAATCCACATAATCATCAGCAGCTGAAGCCTGCCAAGGGTCAATGACTTATCACCTACTTTCTCAAGTGGTGGTTCCTTGCTTTGCTCATTTCCTTGCTTAGATCTTGAACATCCATCTTCTCCATGTGCTTTCTTAGGTTGGTTCTGCTTCAGCTTTTGTGCCCATGATGTTATATGTTTACTATTTAAGAAAAGAAAACCAAAATTACTTTTTTAGATGCCATACTTCACACATAAAGCTAAAAAGCAGTAGACATTGTGTCAATGGAAAAATGCTTTCAGTTGTTTGTCTAATACTGGAAAGATGATAGATTTTTATCAATTCACCTACGTTTCTTTTTGCAATTTCTCAGTATCAAAAAGTCAACTGGACTCATGCCTATAATCCTAATACTTTGGGAGGCTGAGGCATGCTGACTGCTTGAGACTAGGAGTTTAAGACCAGCCCAGACAACATAGCAAGACAGCTCCACAAAAAAACCCCAAAAAGGCTGGACTCGGTGGCTTAGCCTTTAATCCCACTACTTTGGGAGGCCAAGGCAAGTGGCCAAGGCAAGTGCCTGAGCCCGCGGGTTCAAGACCAGCCTGGGAAACTTGGCATGACCTAGTGTCTATGATAAAAATCAAAAATTAGCCAGGCATGGTAGTTCGCGCCTGTAGTTCCAGTTACTTGAAAGGCTGAGGCAGAAGGATCACCGGAGTCCAGCAGGTCGATGCTGGGGTGGCCGTGAGCATGCCACTGCACTCCAGACTGGGCAACAGAGTGAGACTCCAACTCAAAAAAAAAAAAAAAAAATCCAAATCTTAGCCAGATGTGGTAGCACATGCCTGTAGTACCAGTTACTCAAAAGGCTGAGTCCTGCAGTTGGAGAGTACAGTGAACCATGATAGTGCCACTGCTCTCCAGTCTGGGCAACAGAGTAAGATCCCAATTCAAAAAATAAATATAATTTTTTAAGCCGGGCTCGGTGGCTCAGCCTATAATCCCACGCCTTTGGGAGGCTGAGGTGAGTGGATTGCCTGATCCCGCAGGTTTGCGACCCGCCTGGGCAACTTGGCGAGAACTCATCTCTACAATAAATCAAAGATGAGCCGGGCATGGTAGCGCGTGCCTGTAGTTCCAGTTACTTGGAAGGCTGAGGCAGAAGGATGGCCAGAGCCCAGCAGGTCGAGGCTGCGGTGGCCAGGAGCGGCCACTGCACTCCAGTCTGGACAACAGAGTAAGACTTCAATTCAAAAAAAAAAAATACTGAAAAATTAAGATAAACTAAAATTTTTAAAGATTATTTGCTTTATAAACATTCATAGTTTACTAAAAAGTCCCAAGTCAGCAGAGCTAGGTGGCTCAGTCTGTAATCCCGCGTCTTTGGGAGGCTGAGGTGAGTGGATTGCTGAGTCTGTGGGTTCAAGACCTGCCTAGGCAACTTGGCGAGACCTCATCTCTACAATAAATCAAAAAATAAGCCGGGCGTGGTAGTGCACACCTGTAGTTCCAACTACTTGGAAGGCTAAGGCGGAAGGATCGCCGGAGCTCAGCAGGTCGAGGCTGCAACTCCAGTCTAGGCAACAGAGTGAGACTCCAACTCAAAAAAAAAAAAAAAGTCCCAATTCATCAAAATGTACATTAAACTTACAAAAATTCTTCTTATATGTGAAAAACACAAAATTAAGTATGCTTGTATATAATTTATGTTATTTTTGTAAATACAGGGTCTCATAAATTGCCCAGGCTGATCCTGAACTTCTCAAATCAAGCGAATTTCCTACCTCAGCCTCCTAAAGTGCTAGAAATACAGGCATGAGCCACTGCACCTGATCTGATAGGCTTGTACATAATTTTTGGTTTCAAATAACACGAACATATATAACAAAATTCGACTTTTGATACAGTCCTGACCTCTAATTTTTTTTTTTTGTTTTTTTTGGGGGGTTGGAGTCTCACTCTGTCGCCCAGACTGGAGTGCAGTGGCACAATCCCGGCCACCACAGCCTCGACCTGCTGGGCTCTGGCGATCCTTCCACTTCCGCCTTCCAAGTAGCTGGAACCACAGGCGCGCGCTACCACACCTGGCTAATTTTTTAAAATTTATTGTAGAGATGAGGTCTCGCCAAGTTGCCCAGGCGGGTCTCGAACCCGCAAGCACAAGCAATCCACTCACCTCAGCCTCTAAGCGCAGGACTGACCTCTAATTTTTTAGCAAGTTTATAGTGACTAGAAAATAAAAAAGGTGTTTTTCTGGCAAGGCTATCCACCTTAAGAGTTTAATGGTCTTATAACATTACAAATGGGCAGAAAGTCAGGTGTCATTAGTATATAGTAAGCTTTATTTCAATTTCCTACAGGCAACAAATAAAAGACTTTGATTTCTTTTTTTTTTTTTTTTCAGTTGGAGTCTCACTCTGTCACCCAGACTGGAGTTCAGTGGCCGCTCCCAGCCACCACAGCCTCGACCTGCTGGGCTCTGGCGATCCTTCCACCTCAGCCTTCCGAGTAGCCGGAATTACAGGCATGCACTACCACGCCCGGCTGATTTTTGATTTATTGTAGAGATGAGGTCTCGCCAAGTTGCCCAGGCGGATCTCGAACCCGCAAGCACAAGCAATCCACTCACCTCAGCCTCTAAGCGCAGGACTGACCTCTAATTTTTTAGCAAGTTTATAGTGACTAGAAAATAAAAAAGGTGTTTTTCTGGCAAGGCTATCCACCTTAAGAGTTTAATGGTCTTATAACATTACAAATGGGCAGAAAGTCAGGTGTCATTAGTATATAGTAAGCTTTATTTCAATTTCCTACAGGCAACAAATAAAAGACTTTGATTTCTTTTTTTTTTTTTTTTCAGTTGGAGTCTCACTCTGTCACCCAGACTGGAGTTCAGTGGCCGCTCCCAGCCACCACAGCCTCGACCTGCTGGGCTCTGGCGATCCTTCCACCTCAGCCTTCCGAGTAGCCGGAATTACAGGCATGCACTACCACGCCCGGCTGATTTTTGATTTATTGTAGAGATGAGGTCTCGCCAAGTTGCCCAGGCGGATCTCGAACCCGCAAGCACAAGCAATCCACTCACCTCAGCCTCTAAGCGCAGGACTGACCTCTAATTTTTTAGCAAGTTTATAGTGACTAGAAAATAAAAAAGGTGTTTTTCTGGCAAGGCTATCCACCTTAAGAGTTTAATGGTCTTATAACATTACAAATGGGCAGAAAGTCAGGTGTCATTAGTATATAGTAAGCTTTATTTCAATTTCCTACAGGCAACAAATAAAAGACTTTGATTTCTTTTTTTTTTTTTTTTCAGTTGGAGTCTCACTCTGTCACCCAGACTGGAGTTCAGTGGCCGCTCCCAGCCACCACAGCCTCGACCTGCTGGGCTCTGGCGATCCTTCCACCTCAGCCTTCCGAGTAGCCGGAATTACAGGCATGCACTACCACGCCCGGCTGATTTTTGATTTATTGTAGAGATGAGGTCTCGCCAAGTTGCCCAGGCGGATCTCAAACCCGCGGGCTCAGGCAATCCACTCACCTCAGCCTCCTAAGGCACGGGATTACAGGTTGAGTCACCGAGCCCGGCTGATATCTTTTCTGAGGCAGGGTCTCGCTATATTGCCCAGGCTGGCCTCAAAAATCCTGGGCTTGAGTGATCCTCCTGCTTCTGCTTCATGAGTAGCTACCACTGTGTACCACCTAGCAGTGCAAAATACTTTGTTTTGAACAGTAAAACTGATAAATGTTCAAATATATCTCATTCTAATATAGTTCAATTAAAAGGAACTTTATTTACTATATTCTTTTTTTTTTTGAGTTGGAATCTTACTGTCACCCAAACTGGAGTGCAGTGGCTGCTCCCAGCCACCGCAGCCTTGACCTGCTGGGCTCAAGAGATCCTTCCGCGTCAGCCTTCCAAGTAGCTAGAACTACAGGCGCACGCTACCACACCCGGCTAGTTTTTTATTGTAGAGGTGAGGTCTCGCCAAGTTGCCCAGGTGGGTCTCGAACCCGTGGACTCAGGCAATCCGCTCACCTCAGCCTCCCAAAGTGCTGAAATTACAGGCTGAGCCACCGAACCTGGCTTATTTATTAGATTCTAAATGTAATAAACAAGACTTCCTTCAAATGATGGAGAAATGCTACTTACCTATTTGTTTTCCCACTGTATACTTCAGAAATCTTATTTTCACCAGGAAAATTAGGTTCAAATTCATCAGGAAAAATGGAAACATCTTCCTTTAAAGATGCACAAAACTCTCCTGTATTCTGTATATAAAAACTCTTGCTGTTCAAATCATCTACGAGTGAATCTGTCTGCACCACAGGTGCTACATACTGTCCTTTGGAAACGTCTGTGTGCTCCATGAACTCTGCAGGCTCTTTAGATTTGTATGCATTTAATTCTGAGACACAAAAGGTACCATACCCACTGCTCACTGAGCTACTGTCCACATTGCAGTCTGGTTGTGATGTGGATGTTTCTTGCTGCATTTCAGATTCTTTAGATCTAGGATAACTGGTAACAGATTCATTTCTCTCACTGTTTTCAGAAAAAAAACCCATTTGACTTTCTGAAGATACTTGTTTGCTTAAAGAACTACTACTGTAGGAAACCCAGGAAGCATTAGTGGTCTGTAATTTGACTAAATTTCTTATCTCCTCTTGTATACGCTGGAAATAAAAAGTTATAGATTTGGGTAAGAAAGTATATTAAGCATCACATTTTTATAATGTTATAAAAATATCACGTTTCAAAATGATGAAATATCACTCTAAAAATAACATGCTTTACCTTTAGTTTATAAACAAAATTGATATAATGTATTAATCAATTTTTCTGCAAATTTTACAAATTAAAAAAAAAGAAAGATATAAATGACAACTTACTTGAATCTGGTTGTGGAATTGTTCCTGCTGAGCAACTATCTGTTCTTGACATTGTTTTTCCACCAAATTGAAAAGTTGTAACCACCTGGTCTATTGAAGTATAAATTATCTTAGTTAAAAGCATTTTTTTAACTTAGTATTTCACAAATGTATTCATTTAGTGAAAGGGAGCCCTTTTAAAAGTATTTTTTGGTCAGGTTCAAGGCAAGAAGGTTGACTGAGCCCAGGAGTTCGAGACTAGTCTGGGCAACATAACAAGACTCCATCTCAATTTTTTAAAATTTAATTAGCTAGGTGTGGTGGTGCCTGCCTACAGTCCCAGCTACTCGGGAGGTTAAGGTGGAAGAACCACCTGAGCCCAGGACACGAAGGCTGTGGCAAGCCATGACTATGCCACTGCACTCTAGCCTGGGTGACAAATAAATAAATGTATTTTACAATGTAAAATGTGTAAGCCAGATGAAATAAAGTTATACAAATATACTTAGGCCAGGCACAGTGACTCACACCTGTAATCCCAGCACTTTGGGAGGTGAAGGCAGGAGAATTGGCTGAGCCCAGGAGTTCAACACCAGCCTAGGCAACATGGAATGGCCTCATCTCTACAATTAAAACGAAAAAAAAAAACTGGCCGGGCTCAGTGACTCAACCTGTAATCCCAGCATTTTGGGAGGCTGAGGTGAATGAATTGCCTGATCCCATGGATTCAAGACCAGCCCAGGAAACTTGGCAAGACCTCATCTCTACAATAAATAAAAAATTAGCCAGATGTGGTAGTGTACACCTGTAGTTTCAGCTACCTGGAAGGCTGAGGTGGAAGGACCGCAGAAGCCCAGCAGGTTGATGCTGGGGTGGCTGTGAGTGTGCCACTGCATTCCAGCCTGGGCAACAGAGTGAGTCTCCAACTCAAAAAAAAAAAAAAAAAAAATTAGCTGGGCATGGTGGTGCATGCCTATAGTTCTGGCTACTTGGAAGGCTGAGGCAAAAGGATCTCCTGAGCCCAGCAGGTTGAGGCTGCAGTGGCAATGAGCATGCTGAAGCACTCCAGCCTGGGCAACAGAGTGAGAATCTGACTCAAAAAAGGAAAAAGAAAGGCCGGGTTTGGTGGCTCAACCTGTAATCCCAGCACTTTAGGAGGCCGAGGTGAGCGGATTGCCTGACCCCTCAGGTTCGTGACCCGTCAGACTTCATCTCTACAATAAATCAAAAAATTAGCCAGGTGTGGTAGTGCACGCCTGTAGTTCCAGCTACTCAGAAGGCTGAGGTGGAAGGATCGCCGGAGCCCAGCAGGTCGAGGCTGTGGTGGCCGGGAGCGGCCACTGCACTCCAGTCTGGGCAACTGAGTGAGATTCCAACTCAAAAAAAAAAAAAAAAAGAAAGAAAAGAGTTTGGTGTTATAAGAATTTAACTCCAATTTACTTGTTCTTCAAGTAAAAGACCCTTTAGCGCCAGATATTAAAGTGTTTCAAAGCACTGCAGAGCTGAAAAAGAAAGGAATGAAAAAACGACTCTGGAAATCTATGCCACTGACCTCTAACTCCCTTCACAGCCCATTGAGGCCATGATCCATCCTGACTCCCAAGAGCAGGTAGCACTCTCATAACTAGAGTGCACCAACACATGGCCAGAGAGGGGGCAGGGAGTTCTCCAGAAGGCTAAATTTCATCTCAAGGTTGGTATACTTGCACTTATAGGCCGTATGCAATAATACACAGTATCATCAAGTGGCTGCCAAGAAAACTTGCTTCACTGCTTAAAACCTCTCAATATCTAGCCAGGCGTGGTGGCATGCATCTGTAATTCCAACTACTTGGAAGATTGAGGCAAAAAGATCACCTAAGCTCAGCAGGTCAAGGCTGTGATGGCCGGGAGCGTGCCACTGCACTCCAGCCTGGGTGACAAGAGTGAGACTCCAACTCAAAAAAAAAAAAAAAAAAAATCTCTCAATATCTTTCTAGTCCTCATCATTCCTTAGAGGGCTCTGCAGTGTTTGGCTCCTACACACTTTCCAACTTCACCCTGTCCCCTCTGTCCCTCACTGGCTACACACCTGCCTCACAGACGTCTTCATGTTCCTTGAGCATGCCAAGACTGTTTTCCACATCAGAGCTGTGTGCTTGCTGTGCCTTCTACCTGGAACACTTCTGCAGCTCTCAACATGACTGGTGTCTCCCCATCCTGCAATTTCAGCCTAATTGTCACCTTCTCACATCCCAACAGTCCCTCTCTTTCTTGTTATCCTGTTTATTTCCTTCATAGCATTTGCCACAAACAAAAACCATCTCATTTGATCATTCTGTTAACTTGTCTTTCTCCTATTTCCTGTCCCACTCTAACTCCCAACTCTCCACAGCAACCTGTGGGACCCTGGACAAATTAATTTGTGTCTTAAGTTTCTCATTTTATAAAATGGAAATATTAACGCCTCATAGGTGGCTGAGAGGATTCATTTTTAAATTTAAATATGATGCAGATAAAGCAGCAATCTCAATGAGGAGGGAACAGCATGTAGAAATCTGTAAGGTTACAGGTATAACAAAGATGGGGGTTATCACTGCCATTTAGTGGGCAAGGTCCAGGTGTACAGATCATATTAAAGAACTGTCCTGTGTCTATTTTATATTATAAAAATTATAAAATACTTTGAGCAGCTTTCATATCACCAAAAACAAACAAGTTTGTTTCAGAATTTCATCAGCAATTGGTCACCCTTTCAGAAGAACACGTCACCAGTGGAGGTGCTACCCACAGTATTGGGTCATCACAGTCTATGGATCTGTCTTTTCACCAATCTTATTTGTAGCTGCTGCATTCATAGTGAAGCTACATACAGGAAAATACTAGATTATCTCATTATGTCTTTTTTTTTTTTGAGTTGGAGTCTCACTCGGTCGCCCAGACTGGAGTGCAGTGGCCGCTCCCGGCCACCGCAGCCTCGACCTGCTGGGCTCCGGCGATCCTTCCGCCTCAGCCTTCCAAGTAGCTGGAATTACAGGCATGCGCTACCACGCCCGGCTGATTTTTTGATTTATTGTAGAGATGAGGTCTCGCTGCCCAGGCGAGTCTCGAACCCGCAGGTTCAGGCAATCCACTCACCTCAGCCTCCCAAAGGCACGGGATTACAGGCTGAGCCACCGAGCCCGGCTCACTATGTCTTCTAATGAAGATGTGACTGAGCACTTGTATATTGTAAATACATACATATTTATTATAAATAACTTTCATTTCTCCTTCATATCACATTTAGAATAGTATATTGACTTTTTAAAGTGGGTGCAGATAGATTATATTACTTTTGAACTTCATTTCAAGATAATATAAATGTTGTTTTGAAAACTGTTATAAAAAAGAGCTCAAGGAGGCAACCTCTTCGGGTCCCCTCCCACTGTGAGAACTTCTCTGTCCTCTCAATAAATCCTGCCTTCTCCAAAAAAAAAAGGAAAGAGTTCAGAGTCTAAAAAGGTTAAATGCTACCAACAAAGTGTCTAGTATTCTACCTGGTGAAAAGACATTCAATAAGTAGTAGTTACTATAATAATTATTATTCTTATCCTATAATCAGTAGTACTAAAGAGCTAAAATGCTAAAATAAATAGTTAAAACAAATGATGTACTTTAAAAATTTCTTAAACTCACAGAAATATTAGCAACAGCAAGTATTCAAGGTATGTATTAAAGAATTTCTTTTTTTTTCCTAAACTCTTTTTCTGGAATGGCCATCAGAGCTGTTAAAGTATTTCCATACAAATGTGTTAAATGATTATTTTGATTAAATCAAAATAGACAACCTTTCCAAGTTTAAGCAATGATAACCTTAAGAATTCTAAGCCGGGCTCGGTGGCTCAGCCTGTAATCCCGCTCCTTTGGGAGGCTGAGGTGAGTGGACTGCCTGAGCCCGGGGGTTCAAGACCCGCCTGGGCAGCGAGACCTCATCTCTACAATAAATTTAAAAAAAAAATCAGCCAGGCGTGGTAGTGCATGCCTGTAATTCTGGCTACTCGGAAGGCTGAGGCGGAAGGATCGCCGGAGCCCAACAGGTTGAGGCTGCGGAGGCCGGGAGCGGCCACTGCACTCCAGTCTGGGTGACAGAATGAGACTTCAACTCAAAAAAAAAAAAAACAAGAATTCCAGAAGAGGCAGGTGCAGTGGCTCATGTCTGTAACCCCAGCACTTTGGGCGGCTAAGGCTAGAGGATTGTCTGAGTCCAGGGGTTCGAGACCAGCCCGGGCAACTTGGCAAGACCTCATCTCTACAATAAATAAAAAAATTAGCTAGGTATGGTGGTGCATGCCTGTAATTCCAGTTACTTGGAAGGCTGAGGCAGAAGGATCACCTGAACCCAGCAGGTCGAGGCTGTGTTGGCCATGAGCATGCCACTGCACTCCAGCCTGAGGGACAGAGTGAGACTACTACTGAGGAAAAAAAAGAAGAGAATTCCAGAAGAGAGGTTTTATAAAGGAATCCTAAAGAAATCAGGTGATCTCCAGAGCTCTTAGCTACTCAGATTGTAGAAGGTTGCATGTTTTATTTTAATAATCAAGATCAGTCTCTTACGAGTGGCAAGAATCAAAAGTTACAATTGCAAAAGGGACAAGAAAACATGAAATTCAGAGAAAGAAGTCAGGCTAACACTCGCATGATCCTTACTTACTTCTCCTCTTCTTTCTTAAATGCTACACTAAAATATCAGAGGAAGCCGGGCTCGGTGGCTCAGCCTGTAATCCCATGCCTTTGGGATTCCAACTCAAAAAAAAAAAGAAAGGGCAGAAAGAAACTGGTTCAAAATGTTAAAAGTTGAAAATAGCTGGTTAATATTCTAACTTACAAAAATCTATACCTTAAATTCACAAATATATTCTGATTCTGACTTAAGATGTTGACTTTTTTTTTTTTTTGACTTATTGTAGAGATGAGGTCTCACCAAGTTGCCCAGGTGGGTCTCGAACCCGCAGGCACAGGCAATCCACTCACCTCAGCCTCCCAAAGGCATGGGATTACAGGCTGAGCCACCAAGCCCGGTTGATGTTGATTTTTTTAATGTTAGTTTCCAAGTACTAAAAATAACAAGTTCTAGTTAAACATAAGTTTTCCAGAAATTAAACTACACTCGGTCAGTGCCTCATTTGCCTTAAAGCATGTCCATTCAGGTATCATAAGTTAATGAATAGATACATTAGGATAAACATTTAATACATTTAATAAAACATTCCATTTTATTTCATTTATTTATTTATTTATTTATTTTTGAGTTGGAGTCTCACCCTGTCACCCAGACTGGAGTGCAGTGGCCGCTCCCAGCCACCGTAGCCTCGACCTGCTGGGCTCCGGCGATCCTTCCGCCTCAGCCTTCCAAGTAGCTGGAAATACAGGCGCATGCTACCACGCCCGACTAATTTTTTTTTTTATTTATTGTAGAGATGAGGTCTCGCCAAGTTGCCCAAGCGGGTCTCGAACCCGCGGGGTCAGGCAAACCACTCACCTCAGCCTCCCAAAGGCGCAGGATTACAGGCTGAGCCACCGAGCCCGGCTAAAACATTCCATTTTAATTGCATAATTTACTCTGGCATTTTATAGGTCTTTCATATTAGCAGTATTGATTGTACATCATCACCATGCCCAGCTAATTTTTTGATTTATTGTAGAGATGAGGTCTCACCACAACGCCTAGGCTGGTCTTGAACCCCTGGACTTAGGTAATCCTCTTGCCTCTACCACCCAAAGTACTGGGATTACAGGCGTGAGCCACCGTGCCCGGCTTCAAAGTAAATTTGAAAAAGTAAGTTTAAAAAAAAAAAAAAGAAAAAGAAAAAGTGAGTTTTTCAAAATGATAACAATTCCTTATAAGTTACTTAAAACATTAGGATCAGTAGCAATTTTAATAATTTTGAGATTCTCCAGTCACTAAACAAAGACAATGTTTTAGTTCACATTTAATATACAAATTAGTATGCCTAGTCACTAATACACTGTTAAAAATTATTTTGATCACTTTTTCATATTCATTCAATATCATTCCCAATTAACATAGTTGACTACTTTACTTTAGCGATAACTTAAGTTTCATGCTCTTCAGAACATAAATTTCAATCATTTAGTTTAGTAGAGGAACAGTTAAATATAATTATTTTAAAATTCCAGAAACAAAATAAAACTAGATACCTCACAATTTTTCCAAAGCTTAAGATCAGTCTTTTCACCGTTTTGTAGCTCTTGCATTAAAGAAGTTAGGACTTCAACCGTCCCTTGAATTACAGATGGTCTGGTCTTCCCTGAGAAAGAGGATATCCCATTTGTACAAAGGTGGGGACTACTTCTGTTGAAACATAAATAATTCAAATGGTTCTCTTCATTCTACCAAAGTGTTGAATAATTCAGCAGTTCAAGATTTAGTAGAGCAATACAAAACCACTGATATTTAAACCTTCTAATAGCACCTCATTTGTTAAAAATCTGATCACGTTAGTCCACAAAAGGAAAATAGCAGTAAAAAGACAGGCAACACTGTATTCTTTTTAGGAACACAACAAAGACCATCTCCAGAAGTAAGAGAACACTACAAAGTAGCAGCAGAAAACAAAAAAGTTTGTGCTCAATAAATCATCTCCAGCTTCTCTGATCTAAATTATGGCTGAGGATTATTTCACCCTAATTCAAGAACAGTCCTTCATTGTGGTGGGGATTCTTTCTCCACTGCCTAGAATTACAGTCAAATCTTGTTAACTGGATCCCCTTAATTGAGTGTGATAAGCTGATGCTTATCTCTGCACTATCTCTGAATAAACGTTGTGCCAAGCAAATTAGCAGCATACAGTCAGGACATATTTAGCCTATTTAGTGCATAAAATAGCACTGATTCTTTCTAGGAGGACTGGCTTTCCAAACTTGAAATTAGTTTATTTCAGATTTGTTTTGTAAATACACAGTATAATCTGGAATGTTAACATTTGTTTAAAATCCTGTCAACAGTAAAAAATCATAAAAGGAACATGAAAATAAAATTCAGTCACTGAAAGATCATGTTTATTTATTACTGCTTGATAAACTGGGTTTCACAATTTGAAAAAAGAGAGAGAACACTAAAGAAAATAATTGCAAAATAATAGTTAGGACCAGAGAAAAGTTATAAAAATTCAAGGGAGGCCAGGCTCAGTGACTCAGCCTGTAATCCGCGCTTTGGGAGGCCAAGGTAAGGGAATTGCCTGAGCCCGCAGGTTCGAGACCCACCTGGGCAACTTGGTGAGACCTCATCTCTACAATAAATCAAAAAAATTAGCTGGGCATGGTAGCGGGCGCCTGTAATTCCAGCTACTTGGAAGGCTGAGGCGGAAGGATCGCCGGAGCCCAGCAGATCGAGGCTGCGGTGGCCAGGAGCGGCCACTGCACTCCAGTCTGGGCAACTGAGTGAGACTCCAACTCAAAAAAAAAAAAAAAAAATTCAAGGGAAAGAAAAACATATGTGTCAATAAGGAGTTTACATAGTTGTAATAATTGGATTTAAATGTGGTCTATTTAACTGCCGGTCACAATGAAAAGGGAGACAAGTTCAGTTTTCTCTTTTTTTGAAAGCAGGATTTATTGAGAAGATAGAAAAGCTCCCAGAGTGGGAGGGGACCCAAGGAGGTTGCCCCAGTCACATAATTTTCATTAGCAAAGCACAACTGGATTCCTCCAGCAAAATCAAACACTATATTCTAAGAGGAATTTCTTGCCGGGCTCGGTGGCTCAGCCTGTAATCCCGCGCCTTGGGAGGCTAAGGTGAGTGGATTGCCTGAGCCCATGGGTTCGAGACCCGCCTGGGTAACTTGGTTGAGATCTTATCTCCACAATAAATCAAAGAATTAGCCAGGTGTGGTAGCACGTGCCTGTAGTTCCAGCTACTTGGAAGGCTGAGGTGGAAGGATCACCGGAGGCCAGGCAGGTCAAGGCCACTGAACTCAAAATAAATAAATAAATAAAAAATAAAGCCGGGATCGGTGGCTCAGCCTGTAATCCTGCGCCTTTGGGAGGCTGAGGTGAGTGGACTGCCTGAGCGCACGGGTTCGAGACCCACTTGGGCAGCGAGACCTCATCTCCACAATAAATCAAAAAAATCAGCCAGGCGTGGTAGTGCATGCCTGTAACTCCAACTACTTGGAAGGCTGAGGCGGAAGGATCGCCAGAGCCCAGCAGGTCGAGGCTGCG